AGTTTTGGTGCCGCAAATTTTAGTAATTGCTGTGCCATGAGATAAAAAAGAAAAGGTTGAAAACTGCTGGGTCAGAATGTCTAATGTAATTTTTAAAAGAGAATACTTTAAAAATTTGAGAAATACAGTAGGTGAATTAATTTCACCTAAAATTTATGTTGCTTTCAAACTTCATTTTCAATTTAGACATTTATGCTAACAATGTTTTCAGTATTTGCCACAATAAAGTGGCAAAACATCTTTTTTTCTGAAAATGCATAATAATTATTCCCAAAGAAAATCAAAGCCTTATGAGACATAATTACTGATTTCAATCATTTATTTAATTGAATAATTAACTTCTATATATATTTCAACATTGAGTCATAAAACAGTAAATGAACCTAAGATAAACTAAATATTTTCATAAGAAAAAAGATCTTATGTATTTTCTACCAAAATACATTGCCATAATACAGGGTGTGACAAAAGTAGATTTATAGTTTGAGTACATGAAACACAGAGTTTATTGTTATTTATTAATTATTGTATTATTTTCCATACAAACAACTGTAAATCTACTTTTGCCCCACCTTATAATTTGTTTTCAAATGTATTACAAAGTATGCAAATGAGCTTATAAGTATTATTAATTGTAGATAATCTAATATTACACCTTATACAAAATAAGGTAGAAAAATTGCTGTGAAATTTTAATGCAAAATTGTTTTACTGTCATCTAGTGGTAGTAAAGTATAAGATATATAAGTGCTATAAAAATGAACTAATATATTGATTTTTTATGCAAATTGTGTTGTTGGCCTTTGAAACACAAACATTAGGCTATTTTACAAATACCAAATGTCACAGTAATTTTTCTTGTCTGATAGACTTAAATTGACTACTAGCCTTCAAGGTGTATTTGTTAACATATTGATTGTATATTACCGAATAGCCAAAGTTGTCATTCTTACACAAAACCAAACAAGCCTTTTAGACAACAAAGCATTTAAGGCATAAACAAGCACAGTTTCAAATAACATGTTTTTGTGCAGGGGATGTTTTATTATAGATTCATAACTTTATAGGTTGTCTTCATGTACACTCTAAAAAAGCTGGCAAATGTCATTCATCACCTTATCACAGAAATTGTGCCTAAGGCCTTTTCATATCTTTTATAGATGAAGCTTGAGACTTTCACAAAGTCACTCAACATGAAGAACATATTAGAGCAATTCTTAGAAATTCCCTAGATTCAAAATGCAAAATTATAATAAGTGCTCTTTCTTATAATATACTATACATTTGATGGGGATAATCACAAAGAGAAAAAATAATCAAGAAATTTTCTCCGATCTGTGTAAAGTGGGAAGGGAAGCAGTTTCATTAAGTGGGGAGGGTGGTTACTCTGATGTAACCACTTTTCGAAATGATGTCTTCACTGTTGTGTAGACATTGCCAGGGAGTTCAAATTTAAGAAACAGTGAAGGCACCTGTGGTAACTGCAGCAGTAGCACATACCTCCTTCCGGTTCCCCCCACACAAACATGCGGCAGACTTCCACTGGGTTAAGTGTCTTGAAGAGGCAGATTTGTTTACACGTGGAACAGTCACACACAAAACACTGTATGCATCATGCTGACAGCACACTTTACGTGCTCATTATTGCTATTATTCTCGAGCTGTACACACATTAACAGCACTTCCTTAACTTATCTTCTAGCAAAGGAGGCTCTTCATCAAAACTGTCAACGTAAGGAGACTGTGAATAATAATCCGGGTTGGATGCGGGCTGAAAATATTGTCCAGTGTAACCTGATGACATGAGCATCTCCGGTGGGACAAAGGCAAGCTGAGGCTGCTCACTGGCTTGCTGTCTAGAGAAAGGAAAACACTGGTATTTATGCATCTAAGAAAGAGATATCCTGACAAATCAAGGAAATGAAGGAAACTACAATTTCTCTTTCATGAATTATCCCAGGTTTTATGAATATTTAAGCATGAAAGAAATAACTTGCTTACAGTTGAGCTTTAATCAAAAAAAGTGAAGTCACTGGTCATGAAAAGACTTCTAGAAGACTGATCCATACCAACTAATATTTATTGATTATGTACAACATGCTGTCACTTTTTCTCACATTTTCCCATGTCATTAGACTTAGTAAGGTAAAATCTGTCATTTTAGTCCCATTTTACAGAAAGAGAAATAGAGGTTCCTGGACACTGAATGACTTGCCCAGAATCACAGAACGCAGCAGGTGTCCGTCTCTGAACTGAAGCTAGCTGAGCACTCTGCCTCTTTCACTGATATTCATGGCAATCACCAAACATAGATGTCTTTATAATGTGTGGAAGCAACAAGTGTAAATCACAATTTTAACAGTATAGCCAATTCATAGGAAAAAAATAAATGTATAAACTGACTGCTGTCCATAAAGAAATAGACTTTCTAGCTCTGGCCATTCCCAGACAATTATTGCCAATCAAATGACCTGTGAGCACCTAACTAAAAGTATTCAGTAGCGTCCCTCTTTTGAAGAATGCAATTTAGTTTGTCCAAAGATGTTTCTTGTCAAACATGATACTTCCTTGACCATGCTTTTGCTTGTTTTTTTATTTCGTCATTTGTGTCAGGAAGCTGGAAAACAACAATCTTAGTAAATAATTTATTGTGAAAGCTAGAAAAAGGAAGAAAGAGTGAGTGACATTATTTGGTCATTTTTAATTGTGTTTTTCCTGAAGGGGAAGAAATATAAATTGTCCTTATTAACATGTGTTAAGTTTATCTGATCATAATATCGTAGGCTAAACTAAGCTAAAAATACAGCCCAGGATTCTAAACTTTGTAGCTCTCTGGGATCTCTTTATGTTAAAATACTTACAAAATGGCTTTTTATACTTTCGTTCCAACATTCATCTTAATATGAAGTCTAAGAATAACATATTCATTCTCCCTTATATGAGTAAGCCTGAAAGAGAAGATAACCTCTTTTGAAAAATAAAGCTATAAAATAGAAAAATATATACATTTAATCATTCACTAACTCACCACAAGCTCATTAAGGGCAGAGACCTAGTATAATACTTCTTGAATCACCCACAGCAGCAATTTTCAACTGGCTGCTGTGCTGCAAGAATTTTTAAAAAATGCAATACCTGACTATGTATCAGGGGCACTAACCTTTTTTCCCCTTATATTGTCAAATTTAAAAAATGACAACAGCCAACACAATAGCCATCTGGTGTGAATGAGT